ATCTATTTTACCTAAAATATGCTGGCCTCTTAGGATATGTAATTTCTTTATTTTTTCAATTTCTGATTTGAGTTTAGTATTTTCATTATTTAATAGGTGTTTAAATGTTGTCATTTCGTCAAACTTTGTTTGAATTAACATTATCTATTGATCATTTCCACCTGGTTTATTGGAACGCTTTATACGGTCAGTAAGTTTAGCATTACCATCTTGATATTCGTCTTAAACAAATTCTAAATCAATAACCTATTTTTGAGATCTCTTAAGAGTGATTCTTTGAGGGCACTAAATTTAAAAGTTGAAGATTTGTTTATTCTCTTAAAATATTTAACTTTTCTTCCATTATTTGTCTTATCTCCTCTTCGATATTTTCAATTTTCAATTTTAATTAAGTATTTTCATTTCTAACTGTTTCCAAATGAACCTTTTGAGTCAGAAATCTCTAATTTTCTAAGTTGTTCAGCCTGTATCATCATTTCAGTTGGAAGCTCGTCATTGAAATTTCTTGGATCTACAACAAAAATACTGCTATTTCTTTGACTTTCTAATAACTGTTTTGTTTCTAAATCTTTTTTTCATTACTAAATTCTCTTTTGCAATTCTATAAATTTCAAATTTATGTTCAATCTCTTTGATTCTATCACCATTGATTTCTTCTGAAGTATCATGAACAGTGTGGAAAGATTTTTTACTAAATTTATCTTGAATAATTGACTTTTAATACTTGATCGTTTTCCCTAATGGCAGGGCACTTGAAGCAGTTTGGGAGATGGTGAAAATGTTTTTTAATGGCTATGAACTGATGGCTGATGATGAACTACTATCTGATGAGCCCTTGAAGTCCTAATATTAAAACATTTTATAAATTAATATAGTGTCAAACCAAAGGCAGTCTTCATTAAGAAATAACAGTCACACCCAAACATCACCAAATTCGACTTATTATTATATAATTAATAAAACGCCTCACATTTTTCAGGACCATCACTGCATCGGGTGCTGCTGCTGCAGGCTGTGCTGCTGAAGGTGGTAGGTAGCTCTTCAGACTGGAAAGACTCTTCGAACGCATATTTTAAATATATTTGATAAGCTAAAACCATTAGACTGTTTCACTATTTGAACAATATTAACAAAAGCTGAAGTTTATCCTTTTCCTTATTTTCTATATGTATATGGGTTTGTTGTTGTTGTTGTTGTTGTTGTTGTTGTTGTTGTTGTTGTTGTTGTTGTTGTTGTTTTAAAATAATGTATTAATTTACATACTTGTTCTAGAAAGGTTTTAAGACATATTTTCAGTAATGTTAAAATTTTTATTATTATTTTTTGGATGTGCTATGGTTTACATTATTAAAACTATTTATGTGTTTGTTTGTTTGTTGTGTATTGAAAAAAACAAAAATAAAAAAATAAAAATAAAAAAATAAAAATAAAAAAATAAAAAAAATTTTTTTTTAAAAAATTATTAGATTTTTAAAAATAAATATTATTTTAAAAATAAATATTATTTTAAAAATAAATTATTTTAAAAATTTAAAATGGCTATGATAACGTGTTGATATTTACTAAAAATTGGGGGTATACTTTTGAAAGAATGACAGACAACACCTAAAGACAGCTTATAATGAATATGAAATAAGTAAACAATTAAATCAGATATTCTTCCCCCTACTGGGATATATACACAAATATAAAGGAGCAACTTTACAGAGTTACAGATCGATATGATTACTATTAAATTATTTATACTATATGAATATCTTCGGCCTTTGATTTGGCTAATTTAAAACCAATAAAAAAATAATAAAAATAATAAAATAAAATATGAAAATAAAAATAAAAGTTTTTTAAAAATATGTTATAAATGTTAAATCTTTATTTTTTATTAATTAATATTTAATCTATAATTATAAAACTAACTCTTTATGAAATATAGAAATGATGATAATAATAATTAAATAGTACTAAATATACTTTTTTATCTGTTATTTGTAAATTTAATTATGGTGAAGTAATATATGACTTGAGAATACTTGGGAAATCTTTTGATGGGTTCAACAATTTGGGCTGAATGAGTATTTGGTGATTATAAAAATAAAATTAATGGCTCGTCTTTTAAGTTATACTTTAATTAAAATTTGTTGTTTGCTTAATCTGTGGTACTTGCACTATAACCAGAATATCTTCTGAAGTATTTAATGAAATGATTGGTGAACTATTATTTGTAATGTTGTTTGCTTATCATCTTGATCTACTTTAACAACAGAAGCAAGAGTATTCGATAACTTTTCAGTTGAAATGTAATTGCATTCTATTGTTTTAGTATTTGAATCAATTGATGATAAATTGTTTTTTGATTAATCGTCTGTTGAATGATCGATTATAATTTGAATCATTCATTTTTAAATTTTTTTATTTTTGAATTTACAAGTTCTGTACTCCAGAAGATGGTTTGGCAAGTGAATTTGGTAGAACTAAAGAGATATATTTATATCTCCAAGCTGGTAATGGTGGTAAATGTGGTGGAGGTACCAATGGTGAGGTGTTGTTATTTTTATAAAATGTTGATGGTGATGTTGAATTATTTGATGATGATGAAGATGGTAGTTTACTAGTTGAGGATTTATTTGAATTGTTTGATTCTAATTTAGCACTACCACTATTACTTCTACCACATCTAAAAAATCTTGCAATACGAGCACCCAACTTTTCAGATTTTTTTGATTTAACTCCTTCGAGCTCATTTTTAATACCTTCATTTAGTATTGTTTGGTTTTGATGATTAATTGGTATTTTAGATTGACTCTCTTGATTACTTGATATATTATTTTCTAAACCAAAAATATGATGGCCTCTGAGGGAGTGTAATTTTTTTAATCCTTCAATTTCAGAATTGAGTTGAGTATTTTCATTATCTAATTGAATTTTTAATGTGGTCATTTGGTCGAGTTTTGTTTGGATTATTTTTTTCTCTTCATCACTTCCATCTGGTTTATTGGAACTTTTCAAACGGTCTGTAAGTTTAGCATTACGAGCTTGATATTCTTCTAATATAAATTCTAAATCAATAACTTCTTTACATCTATTCTCGAGATCTCTTAAGAGTGATTCTTTGACTGTACTATTATATCTTTGAACTTCTTTTAATTTTTTTATTTCTAAATCTTTTTCTATTTCTAAATTCTCCTTTGCAATTTTATAGCATTTAAATTCATATTCAATCTCTTTGATTTTATCTTTTAGTGCTTGATTTTCGGCTTCTAAAAATTGTTGATTGCATTGAGCTGTATTAGCACTATTACCATTTATTTCTTCTAAAGCAATCAAAGAGATGATTGGCGAGCTATTTTTTGTAGTTTCGGTTGTTGTTACTGTATTATCATCAAGATTAACTTTATTAACGGAGGAAAGCATATTTTTATATACATCATTTGATTTTACCTCTAACTCTTGTGATGAGGATAAAATAGATGCATTCTAATTGTAAAAAAGGTAAATATTAGAATTTAAATAATTAATTTTTTATTTCTATAGTTACTACTTACAGATGTTAAGAATGATACTAAAAAGGTTTCAACAGGAATTAATTCTTTTTTTAATACACAATCATGGACAAATTCTTTAACCAAAATTGGGATACCCAAAGAAAGAGCTTGTTCAACTTTTTGGGTCTTCTCTAAATAGCCTTCTTTAGTGGTGATTAAATGTGTGTCCTTTAATAATAATTAGTATTATTTTTAAATATTAATTTCAATTAAACAAGTTATATATTTACCTTTGTGCATGAGTAGCAGCTTTTGCCTCCATTCTTTTTAATAATTTTAATTAACTGATTTTTTCTTTTAAGGTTAATGGTTTTGTCAAAAACAAAAGCGCAGTTTTCGAAAATATTTGAGTTTATTTGATTTTTTTCTTGATGAATTTCTGTTGAGCTCGATAGATCTTGATTATTATTATTATTATTGGAGTTGTACATTTTTTTATTGGATACTATAATAGAAAAGATTTTTGAAAGGAAATATAGGAATGTTTCAATGATAAAGGGTTATAAAAAAATAATCTTTAAAAAAATATTATGTGATTATAATTTTGAAAGCTATTATTTTTTATGAATTAAAAAAAAATATTATGTGATTATAATTTTGAAAGCTATTATTTTTAATGAATTAAAAAAAAAAAAATATAATTTATAAAAAATAAAAAATTAGAACTGTTTAAAATATTTTTTTTTTTTTTTAAATTAAAGAATGTTAAAAGTTGTATTTCATTTTTCTTTATATTTATTTAAAATTGAACACTTTAATTAAATCTAATATTTTAAATAAAAATTTTATTGAATTCTCTAAAGAATGATATATTAAACACCAAAGTAACTTTTTCATTTCTAAAAAGTATTTAATAATATTAATAATAAAAATAAAAAATAAAAAAATAAATTATAATAATTAATAAAAAAAAAACAATATAGATTGATAATTAAAAAATATGTTATTGTATGTTAAAATTTTGATTAAAATAATTATTACAATGAAAATTTTTATTAATTTAAAAAAAGGGGAATTTTTTAATTTTTAATAATTATAAATATGTGTATTTTAAATAAATTTGAATAGAAATAAAAAAATAAAGTAGATTTTGAATCTTCAGGTTTTTCATACTAATAATTCTTTGATGCTCATTTAAATATAATTAATGTAGAGAACTTTTAGAACAATTAGAATTAGCTCAAGAAGGTCTTCAATCCGAAAATTACAATATTAAATCAGAGATTACAATTATTCAAGATAAATTCAGTAGTAAAAAATCTTTCCACACTGTTCATGATACTTCAAAAGAAATCAATGGTGATAGAATCAAAGAGATTTTTAAAAAACTTTTATTTTCATATTTTATTTTATTATTTTTATTATTTTTTTATTGGTTTTAAATTAGCCAAATCAAAGGCCGAAGATATTCATATAGTTTAAATAATTTAATAGTAATCATATCGATCTGTAACTCTGTAAAGTTGCTCCTTTAAATATTTGTGTATATATCCCAGTAGGGGGAAGAATAAAATAAAATATGAAAATAAAAGTTTTTTAAAAATATGTTATAAATGTTAAATCTTTATTTTTTATTAATTAATATTTAATCTATAATTATAAAACTAACTCTTTATGAAATATAGAAATGAATGATAATAATAATTAAATAGTACTAAATATACTTTTTTATCTGTTATTTGTAAATTTAATTATGGTGAAGTAATATATGACTTGAGAATACTTGGGAAATCTTTTGATGGGTTCAACAATTTGGACTGAATGAGTTTCAGGTATTAGTACTTTATATTCTCTTCATAATTGATGCACTAGATAATACCAGGTGAGGACTGCTAGTTCTTATATTCATCTAAAAGGTTTTAATGTTATACCATAGTTGCTTGGCCAGAATAAAGTTGGTATGTTCAATGTCGATTAGATTGAAAAGCATCATTATTTGAAAAGTAAAGATTGATTATATTTATTCTAGAAATAATTATGGTTATTTGAATTATAATATGAAACGATTTAATTATTAATTTAATCGCCATCTATTTCATGATTATAAATTGATCTGGTAATATTACCCTCTCTGTAATTAAATAATGAATAAATTAATATATGTTTTATTTTTAATGTATATATTTGAATGTTTAAATTACTTACTTTAACATAATAAAATATTACAATAGTGATACTGTGCACTTGAGTATAGTGGTACATACAGAATGAATAATGTTTATAGTTGCGGGTGCTGTGTATTGAATGTAGCAGTATGATTATAATCTATTGGTGACTCCTGTTTCTGTGATGGTTGATACTGATGCGGTTGTTGTGTCTCTTGTTTTGGTAGCATTAAAAACTGGTGATTTTAACTATAGCTAGTGTTGATACAACTTTATCGGAAGCAGCTGTGTTGGTTGGTTTAGAGCTATTGATACTAGTGATTCCTTTTCTTTAAAAAATTGATTTCTTTTCATTTTCACTAATTTTGAATTGTTTTTTAATATCTTGTTTTGGTAGTTCACTAACTTCATCTTCTAATTTTCTTTTAGCTCCTGTTGATACAACTTTAATTGGTGCAGCTGTGTTGGTTGGATTTGAACCATTTGATACTGGTGAATTCTTTTCTTCAACAATTGGTTTCTTTTCAGTTTCACTAATTTTGAATTGTTTCTTAATATCTTGTTTTGGTAGTTCACTAACTTCATCTTCTAATTTTCTCTTTAGACCCAATGTATTTTTAGGGATAACTGAATTTGTGTTGATGGATCTTTCAGTATATCCCTTGGTATAGAATACATTATAGGCCTTTGAACGTAATACAGCTTTGTATACTAACTTGTGAAACCATTGAATCATCCATTTTATACCATACACCATTTGAACCTTTAACATAGCAGTAATAATGACCTGAATTTGCGCTATCACCTAAATGAACCAATACTGAATTTAAATCATAGATTGAATAATCCTAAAATTTTGTAATAAAAAAATTTATTAATATTATTATAAATAACTATTGATATTAAATTATTTAATTATATAATTACATTTTTTTGGGTCATATATGGTGAAAGGTCTAAAGTTTGACCAAATTGAATATGCTTATTATCTTTACCACCATACGAATTCAAAAATGAGAAACGTTTAATTTGAACTGTTAAAACTGGAGGTGAGATTTCAATTTGTAAACTTTTTTCTGCTTTTACCAACTTATTACATTTTTTACATTTATAGCCATTTTCGCCATCAAGGATTTCTGGTTTTACAAAATTTTGAAGTCCTTTAGTTAAAGAGTTTGCCTGGTTGATTTCGACACATAAATCCATAAATTCGTCGAATGTATTTGATTCATATTGGCAAACTGTACATTTAACTTGACTTCTGAGATAACCACCAAATATGGAACCAATTACGGTTGTCATTGAATCACGTGGACTTATTGAACCTTTTGGAAATTTTGAAAGACAAACCTTTTGAAGAGAATCAATTACAAAACAAAAAAATTCGTGTGAATCTTCTTGACGACCAATTCTAAATGTTGGTGCAACCTTTTCTATATTTTTAGCAATTACCAATGGAGTTGTAGCTTTACCAGTAGCTTTGTGACTGGCAATAATGTGAATTTCTATAGAACAGAAAATACAAAAACTTTTATTGGTACAATTTTTGCTATGTTCACCTGAGATCATATAGTTTGCTAATGCTGGTGAATATGTAAGGCATTGGAGAACAGAGTTCATAAAACATGTATTACCAATATTATATAAACCTGCTCCAATATTTGTAATTGATTTCCATTTCATTAGTGGGTGGAGCTCTTCTGGTTTGAAAATTACTTTTTTAGGTTTTGCTAAAACATTTTCATCCTCTTGATCCAACTCTTGAGAATTTTGTTGGTTTTGTTGGTTTTGATGGTTTTGTTGATGTTGGCTTTGTTGGCTTTGTTGGCTTTGTTGGAGTTGTTGGTTTTGTTGGTTTTTTTGGTTTTGTTCCTGTTGTTGGTGATTTTCCCAGTATTGGCAGTCGACTTTTACACAGCTGTCATCTTTAAACATGCAATTCCAATACTAAAAGATAAAATAAAACTAATGATACCAACAATAAATAAATAAATACACATTAATAAAAAATCCTCCATTTTTTTTACAATTATCTGGGGGAAAAAAAAACAAATATAATTTAAAAACAAAAAAGGATAAATACTATTTACAAAAAAAAAAAGAAATATAATTTAAAAACAAAAAAGGATAAATACTATTTACAAAAAAAGATATATACAAAAAAAAATATTATTTACAAATAAAAAAGGAAAAAAATATTATTTACAAACAAAAAAAGATATATATTATTTACAAATAAAAAACAAAAAAAAAAAGAAATTTACACAAACAAAAAAATAAAATGAAAATATACACAAACAAAAGATTTATATTTTACAAAATAAATAACGAAAAAAAAATAAAAGGAATAATGTACAAGTGTAAAAAAACGAATGAATATTATTAAGGTTGAGCTATTGTAAAAAAAATGAAGTTGATTAATGAAAAAATATGTGTGTGGTATGAAAATTATAATTTTTAATTAATAAAAAAAATAAAAAA